GCACTAAAGCTATGGAAGTACATAACGATAAAACTGAAGAAATATTCTCACGTACACGTGGAAAGCTCAAATTCAGAATAGCACATACAATATCGCATTACTGAGAATGTAATAAAAGCACTGGAACAATTCACCATAAAATACTAGCAAATTGTAAGACATAACCAGGCAAATAAGTCCTATCCTTGTTCACATTGACGAGTAGTGAATTTATCCTGCTACAATTAAAATCGAAGCAAATGACTCACGTCCATAAAGGGACCATCTTCGATTGAACAGTCACAACTAGCCAAAAAAGCAGAAATGCAACAAGAAGAAGAATTCAATCCAATGCAAAAATGACTCTGGAGAAAATATGATTAAAACATATAAAAGGATCAACGTATCAAAAATTTAAACCAGCTTTCAAATTCATACAAGTAACATTGTCTTTTAAAGTTAAAAGGCCAAAAAGGGAAGGGATCAAACATACTAAACTGCCATACTAACAAGGACAAAAAGTAGGCATAGCGCCAACCCTCCTTACAATTCATCATGCTCATTTCTTCGACTTCTTAGATCCCCTGCAAGGATATACTCTCATCAAATGATGTTCAAACTAGGCCCTAGGAGAAACTACAATTAATATATTTGCAGATGAACTTACTGAGCTGGCTGGGCTGGTGCGGCAGCGGCTGGTGCTGCAGGTTGTTGTACTGGCTTCTCTCCTCCTGGTCCCTGAAAATTGAAACAGAAAAGATGAGCAAAAATCCTACACAGATACTTAAAAGGGTATAAAATCCCATAATCACATGAAATGTATCTTAAAACCATAAAACTTGAGTAGAGCACTCTATCAAGTGTCAGAGCCAACTTTTCTCTAGAAATTTTAATGAGCTTCAAACAATTACCTGAGCCAAACGTTCTTCCCTCCTTGCAAACTTTCTTTCTCTGCTTGCCTTGTTCTTTGCCCTCCTAGCCTCAAATTGGTCGGACAAGGTCTTCTCTCTAGCCTTCTCAGCCTTTGTCTTGTGGATATTTTCCATCAGCACACGCTTGTTCTTGAAAACATTACCCTTCACCTTCATGTACATGTCATGATACATGTGTTTGTCAATCTTCTTTGATTCCCTATACTTGCGAAGCAAACGCCTGAGGACTCTCAATCTCCTCATCCAAAGCACCTTGGTAGGCAGTCTAGCCTCCCTGGTACCTTTGCGCTTACCTGAGAAAAGAACAGATATAAGCCAACAGAGCAATTTCACCTGCTAATATACATTAGTCACTACAAAGACAAGGTAGAAATGGCATAGTTCAAAGCCAGTTAATATACGAGCAAAATAATCTTTGATACAAAGCAACCAAAAAGGTGCCTATATTGATATATCTTCTTTAGGTATGGAGTACACAAAAAACTGTTTAATTAGGTCAAAAAGGTGAAGTGACACTACACTAAAACAAAGCATAATTGTATTAAACAACTTACCAGAAAGAATAATACTAAATATAGGCTTATATTCCCTCTATCTCATTTTAATTGGCATAGATGCCATGTATGGCCAAAAACTTTCTCCTTGGAAGTTCACCTCTTATATTCTTCTTTATTTTGATTGAAAAATTGAGTTGTTATATTCTTCTTTTTTGAAGGGAAAAAAACAATGTTCAATGTTTGACAGCAAATCAATAGAGCTACCTAAAAACTGAACTAGGTCATGTAAAATAAGTTTCTGCAATCACAGTCAAGACAAGGAGGTACCATATCCAGAGTGACGGCCTTTCCTCTTGGCCTCCTTCATTCTGCGAGCACGAGATCTTGAGTGAATTTTGGTTGGTTTCCTGATGATGAAACCATCCTTAACCAATTTCCTGATGTTTTGACCTGCACCAAATGGAAATGAAGAGATTACTAGCAGTAAATAAGAAACTACAACAAACAATAGTTGCCACAATAACATACGCAGAGTTACAAGGATCGCAAATGGCTTGCACAAGCTTGCCCAATTAGCTTGTTAAAGCAACATGTTCTAATTATCGAGATTGAGTAAACATTAATATCTTTTGGTCATCTAATCTAATCATCAGATTAATAAGCAAATAATGCAAAGCAGCAACACCAAATAGATATCTGTCAATACGACAACACACCCAATGAAATCCCAAAAAGTAGGTATCATTCCAAATTGATATCTGCCAAAAATAAAGATAATTGCAGATAATTTATACCACTGTTTGGTAACCCTATCATTACTGGTTAAATTACAATGACGGTGCTGTAATGAACATATACAGCTCAATTACATTTCCATCTCACGACTCAAAAACTTCAGCAAATATAACTTGTCACAAAACCTATCAACACCTGCCAATAATTTCAATCCACTACATCTTCAGTTTTCAGACAAAATCAGTGTAATTGGTTATTCCCATCCGTTAACACAAGAAAAACCATCCTTCTTAATAAAGCTTACCAAAATCAACAATGTTTCCAATGCTCAAATCTAAGAAATATCACTCTAAGCTGACACTGTTTACATGTAAATAACAAAACATTATTATGCTGCTAGTCTCGTGAGCATTACTAACTAAATTCGAAAACCGCAACTCTAACAAAAGGCGAATTGATAATAACAGTACATTAATCTACGGTACACTGGAGCTTAACTGATCAAACTCTACGACATAAATATACATAAACAGTATATTAAGTTGAAACAATTCTAATGTTGATCAAAATCCAAACCTAAAACCCTCCACACACAAAAAACGATGAAACGATAATCAAAGTAGCATAATCTAGGCCTCTTTGGATCTAAACTGGTCAACATATACTACGTGAAGAGTATATTTCGTTACAACAACAGTAAGGTTGATCAAATTCCAAACCTAAAACACTCCACAACCAAAAAAAACGGTGAAACGATAAAGTAAACATAACCTAAGCCTCGTTGGAGCTAAACTGATCAAAATCTACTACAGATCTTTCACAAATAAAAGCTACAACATACAAACAAGAGATCACAGAGATAGCATGAACGTAAATAGAGATTGATAAGAAAAAGAAAACAGAAACATACGGGAATTGGCCATGGAAATTTCACTCCCTTCATTAGGATCAAGCCAAACTTTTCCTCTTCCACACTTGAGGACACTAGCGGCGAGCCGCTTCTGGAGCTTCAACGAAACCATTTTCGATTTTGTGAAGCTGCGAACAAAGGAGAAATGGACAGTGGTTGGGAGAGGCGGCTTTTATACCACTGAAATTAATGCCCTAGGGTTTTTCGAAATGGGCTTAGAAACTGTCTTTTGTCCAATGGGCCTCTTAGTACTGAGGATTAGAACTAATTGCACTTGTAGCCATATTTAATCAAGTTTTCAAATTATTTAATTCATAGTTAATGTTGACAAATTTTAGACAAAAAAAAAAAACATATTTGTTGCTCTTCTTCTTCTATATCATTATCACACAATATAGAAAATCATGTTATCAAAAAAAAAAAAAAAAATTATGATGTGCTACATTATATAAAGGAACTAGGCATTGAGTGTAAAATCCAAGAAAAGAACACCATTGAAGGTTCTTGAGAAAAAAATTTGAAAATGATAGAATAAGTTTGTTAGATTTGATGTGTTTTTCACAAATAGATTATTGGGGTTAGTTATTTATGATATTTAAAATTGAGCTAATTTGGAGTTGATTTGGGAATTGAATTGAGTGTTTATAAATTCAATAACAAATTATTATTTCTAGCATAAGTTTGTTTACATGAATGCTTGAAGTACAGTCATGTATGTGAGCTCTCAGATAAAATTTATAACTTTATCCATAGATTTCCATAACTTCATCTCGAGCTCCCAAGCAATGGGAGGAGTCAGGTCATTGATCGTAAAAGAATGAATTGCTTGGTTAAAGTCATAGCGAGAACGAATCTTCATAAGACAATTGTCACTAAGTACTTATAGACATGAACCTAGGTGATCTATTATATGGAAGAATCAACGAATGAGTTGTAGTTAGAAGTGAAAGGTCACTTGAACCCAAAATCAGCTAGTTCTCACCAAAATGTGTTAAGATGTAGCAATTTATAGAATAAAATATGTTTCGCAATTTTATAATTCATTTTTTCAATATCTAAGTAACCTTTGAATACAAATTACATGTATTTGTTCTCAAATTTGTTATATATGTTTTAAGTTGTCTTTTAAGTGGCTAGAATTATATAGTTTAGACTATGAATTAATTAAGGATCCCAAAATCGGCTAGTTGTGACGTATATAATCTTATATGGAATTATAAGGTGATGATTAAATAATTATTAGGGATCTTGTGAACAAATTTTTGACTAATTTATTGGTATTTCTTATATCACTTCTAATTAAATAACTTTGTCAACTTATAAGATTAGATAATTTCTCAATACTAACAAAAATTTTAAAAACTTTTCTTATTTAGTGTTAGATTGAAATTTGTTGAAAAAAAACGAAATATTTTCCATAAGAAAACCCTTACTATTTATAATTTTGTAGCTAATATGAATCAATCTAAATTTTATCTTTTTCTATTTTTCTAGAAGACCCTAAAAAAGAAAAATATCGTAATAAACCATAAATAAATTATGTGAATACAGCAGAACATATGCATATTGTATTTAGCTAGGGTTGGTATCCCTAACGACTAACATCATTGTCACTAAGAAACTAACCCTAGCTATATTCCGTAGCTAATATACGTCAAGCTATAAATTTTTATCTTTTTTCTATTTTAAGACACCAAAATAATATAAATATTATAATAAATCATAAATAAATTATGCAGATACAAGATTGAACACATGCATGTATTTAGTTAGGGCTGGTATCCCTAACTACTAACATGCATTATTGTCACTAAGAAACTAACCCTAGCTAGCTACACTCAGTAGCTAATATGCGTCAAGCTAAATTTTATCTCTTTCTCTATTTTCAGACATCGAAAAAAAAAGATAAATATTATAATAAACCATAAACAAAATTACATGGTTTTATTGAAATTCACACACATTTTTCATAGACATAATTTGATTAATAATGTAATTATTGACATGCTGGTACACTAGTTTTTCCACTGAATACTGTTTTGGCATTTTGACATGTTGCTCCTAAAAGAGGTCCAGTTGAATCAGATGGGGTTATATCAATGTCAGCCAATTCAACTCCTTCACATGGAGCTGCTTCACTGCAATTAAGTGCTACTGGAGCTTTTGTATTTGTTGTGCCCCTTATGTTCTTGAAGTGAATATCTGTTAATTTCACCTTTGATGGCTATACCAAACAAAATATAATAATGTATAAGTGAAATTGATCTACACAAATTAGTATAATTAACTCAAATTCATGTGTTATGATGAAATACTAATAGTTTACGATGATACTTATTATCTCTCATTTAATTCTGTTTAGTAAGGTTTGAATTTTAGAAAGAAATCATGTAGTGTTTTTGCTTCTGTTGAAAAAAAATACAATTCAAACTGTATTACTATTTCAAATTATGGTGATCTTAACATTATTGTCCCAATAGAACTCGAGGTACTTGTTATCTCTTATTGGCAAAGGTATTGAGTAATTAACTTTATCTAGCAAGGCTTGAATATTGAAAAGAAATCATCACCTAAATTGAGATCTCATGACTCTCTGTCAGGCATATTGTTGACCACTAAGTCACACATCCTTAGGTGTTGTGGATACCTAAGTTTAGGGGTGTCAAATTGTGTGTCTAGCACATAGCGACATGGTTAAGATGAGTGAATATACTAAAATTTCTAACGCTCCAACATATGTGTCGAGTAACTAGTTTGTGAAAAGTAGTCATGATAGCTTACCTCATTTTTGTTCTTGGAATTATAGTGTTGATCAATAAGAATTGGATTTTTAACATCATCCAAGACAATATCTTCATAAACAACATCAGAAACTTGTAGTGGAGATGAAGCCATATAAGTCTTGATTCTTGCACCATTTGTTGTACTGTGAAATGTACAGTTTTTTATATAAACTTTTGTAACATCCTTCTCATCTGGTCTTTTTCCAAGGCTTCCAATGCTGCAAAAAAAAGAAAGATTAAAACAAAAAACTACATTTAAAATTTTTATTTATCTAAATTTATGAAAAAAGTTAGTAGTATTTTTAACCCCTCAATTATAGATGATTTTCAATGTTAATCCTTGTAACACTTGAATAAACACATTGAATCCCACAACTTTAAGATGCTTACCATTTGAGCAAAATGATTTTTTATTAATCGGTAACGTCCATTAATTAATTAAAATATGTACTCTTATTCCTGTTGCTTTGAATATTCATCAATTTATCATAATTATTAATAATATTATATCTTAATCAGTCTATGTGTTATGTTAACTATACTCCATATTTGACAACTATACACTTTTAAAAATAATCTAGATATAACATATTTTCTACGTAAAGGGATCGGAAAATAAATATTTTAGTTACTTGAAAGTTAAAATGTGCTTAATCACGTATCACACTACCAGAAAATCATTATTTTTTTTATGAAATTCGTCAGACTTTGGCTCGTCAGTAACATTTCCAACTGACTTTTTATCAGAAATTCCTTACTGACGAGCCAAATTCCGACAACACATCTATTGGATTCTTGCGACGGCTTTTTTTGTTGTGTCACAATACTCTTTAAGTTATTTTACAAATAACTGAGGAACCAAAAGTACGTATTATTGTTCTTTTACAACATATTAGGGCTAGAACGTAAAAGAGATGTAAAATTATTCGTTGATTAAGAGATCACATTAGCTCGTAAAATGTAATATCACGAGTTTGAATCATTGTGATCTCTTGATCATTCTTGTCTAGTCGAGTCATTTCATATTCTTCTATTACTTATGTGAAAAATTAACCGAAAAAAATACATAATAATATTAAATTATTAATTAAAAACTAACCTTATTCCATGTCCAGGGCCACAATGAATATTATTGACAAAAATATTGGTAGTACCATGTCCAACACTAATGCAATCATCACCTGTCCCAATGTTGCTATCAGTAATATTGATATTAATTGTTTCACTTATATGAATTCCATCAGTATTTGGACTTGTTCCTGGTGCTGTAATCTTGATTTTTGTAACTGTGATGTCATTACTATCAGTAATTTTCAAGTGGACACCTTTGGAATCCACAAAATTGATGCCATTGATGGAAGAACTCTTCACAGTTTGAAATACAAGAGACTACACATACAAAAATTATAATAATTCAAATTCAAATCGTCGTTAATTTCATATATGATCATTCAACTGTTTATTATATCAAAGTCATAAAACTACTTATTGTACTAGAAATATAAAATATGAAAGATAATGGATATTAGGTTGGGTCGAAAAAATATTAATTTTAAATGGTGTGACATGGATATCATGTTAGGTGCGCATGTCGACTTGAGTAAACTTATTTGACAATTCATTTTCTGGTTATTTGGATTCGTGCCGCATAAGATACATTTAAAGTGCGTCTTTTTCGGAGGCGGAGTTAGATGGGGTTTGTGGGTTCGGACGAACCCAGTAACTTTTCTGTAGACTCTGTATTTGTAATAGAAAATTAAATAAATATATATGTTTATTAACTTATGAACCCCTAATAAAATTAATTGATGGTTCAGTGGTAAGAAAGTTACCGTGGAAATACTTTTCATGCTAGAATTGTGAGTTTGAACCCTACCTCTCTCAAACTCTTAATCCTGACTCGGCCTCTATCCTTCTTAACCAGGAGTTTCTCCATTTTCAAAGCTCAAATTCGAACGTTATGGTTAAAGGTGGAGGATCTCATCCATCTTCCTATGCTCTTGCCTTTAAAGATGGAGGATCTCATCCATCTTCCTATGTTCTCTCAAACTCTTAATCCTGACTCGGCCTCTATCCTTCTTAACCAGAAGTTTCTCAATTTTCAAAGCTCAAATTCGAGCGTTATGGTTAAAGGTGGAGGATCTCATCCATCTTCCTATGCTCTTGCCTTGGTGGTTATGTCAATTTCATATATTAGCTATGTGTGTCATTTTTTTGCTTCTTTCTTATAAGAGTTACTTTTTTTTCATTATAAAAGTTAATTTTATGATTTTAATAGTAAATTAAAATTGGAACGATCATAAGTTGACCGACTATCTGAACTTACAGTAGGGAGAGGAGGAGTGCTTCCGGTTTTGTCAGCATACTGCCAGCTGGCATTTCCTTGTCCATTGAGAGTTCCGCCACCTGTAATAACGACACCGTCCACGTGTTCGAGGGATATCCAGGAGGCACGTGAGTACAAACTTATGTCTGTATTTGACAATACTGTCCCTTGAATTTCAATAGTAATGGGCTTTGGGCATGTACATGGGCCTTGAAAAATAGTTTCTCCTGTAGTGAATGTTCCTGGTGGAATAACAACTTTTGCTGAGCCTGTTGATTGGCAGGCTGATCTCCATGCCATCATAAATCCCTATTAAATTCAAGAATTTTTTTTAATTTTTTTTTACATTTATAAATAATTTATTTATTTGTCTATAAAATCATCAAGTCAAATTAAATAAGTAGTTAATCTAGTAAAATACAACTTGTTATGAATATGCATATAAGTCCTAGAGATAATTAAAATCGAATTTCGACCATCAAAGTTACAAGGGAATTTAGGAGGAGCAGAGAACTATATGACTCTTTAATCGAATCTCTTTCATCAAATAAAATTCTCTTTTTTGTCTTGTATGTAAACATTACTCGTTGAATACTTTTGATATAAAGAAATCTTTTATTGTAGCGATAAAAGTGCTTCAAGAATTGTTTTACATTAGGTTGATCAAATTCTGGTGGGAACGGCTCAATGCCTTTAAAAATGAGGAATCCATCTAAGGTCCCCAAATTTGAGGGCTCCATTTTTTAATAATAATAGAATTATTATAAGTATTTTTAACAAATACTTATAAGTATTCCTAATCACACTACACGGGGCATGATGCAACGTAACAATATATACCTAAATATGTATGAAAATATATATATGCACACATAGTAATAATAGAATAGTGAATATAACATCGGGGGCGGAGCTAGAAATTCAGGTATAGGTTCGGGTCTTACCCGAGTGCTATCTGCAGTGGGATCTGGTCTAGCTCCGTACTTGGTAACATCGAAAACTGTCTCCATAAGGCCACGACGCGAACCAAAAGGTGCACATTCTGCAACTTTTGATGATAAAATGGCTATACCCAAAAGTAAGAATAATCCTATAGTAGTGATTTCTAATCCTTTTGGAATAGCCATTATGGTTGTGGCCTAATTAGGAAATTGAAAAATAAAATAAAGAAGAAAAGTGAGAAAATTAAAGAAGGAAAGGACCCTTTTTGAATGGAGATAAACAAATCTTTTGCCATTTTTATATCAATCTTCTTACACCATACAAAAATTATTGGCTAGTGTTTAGTTTGTTTTATTTCTTGTTTATGTATTTCCTACATTTTAGCTAAGTTAGGTTCAAATTGAAGTTTAAAAGTTCACCTTAAATCATTAACAGAAAATAATTTGTGTGGCCTTTAGAAGTTAGGTCCTCTTGTAAAATATAATTTAACTTTTTAGTTACACCATATGGTATTTGGCTTATTGGTTCGATTAATTTAAATTCTTCAGGCACTAAGAGGGAAGTATCAAATTAAGTCTTGCGCCTAACTCACACCCAAAAAAGAGGAGGATTGCTCATGGTTCTTGTCTTTAAGTAACCGATGTGGTATATCACCCCCTCACACTTAGATCCGTACATTTTTATATGGTGTTCCACTGCTTGGTCTAATGCGTGCTCATTCATGGATCAAGGGTATTTTCACCCCCTCAACTGTCTAGGACCCTAAAGATCCTCATCAGGTGGGGTCTGGTCTAGCTATATTATGTTAAATTACATTTTGGATCTAACTTAAATTCAAATATTAAACTAGTTTATAGAAATTTCTCCATTCTTAAGGTACTAATATAAATCTAATACTAGGGTATGTGACACCCCCAAAACTCGATGACAATTGTCCACCAACACGTTCATTTTGATCTTAAGATTTTCGGACGTTATTATATAAGTAAGTAAATAAATAATTCCAAATTTATTTATGATAAGATCAAACTTATATTGCCACTCTGAATTCATTGACATTAACAATTCCTCAATAAAATGAAGCAACAATGAACATAGGCAAGCAATGAACCAGACTAGTAACTGTCGCGGTTGTTATCTCCAAGGTATATATATAAATAAATACCCTATAAGTTGATGTTTTGATAAAATTTATTAATCATCTATGACAATATTCATCTTAATAGAGCCTCTGCGTTCACTGACTTAAAATCTTGTATCAAGAGGAAGTCAAACCGGAATAAAATGGCACCTCGGTAGCAGGTATCCACTCACTCCCTTGTATAAAATTCCCAACAGTAAATTGACTCGCCTCAGTAGAGCTATTAATGACTCGATAACCGGGCCATTTCACTCTAGCACTAGTATTTGAACCGGGTCCCCGGTTCAAATACTCTCCATAATAAAGTGTGTTCAATGCAAAATCACCACTCCATTCTAACCAACCAGCAGGATCAATTAAGCTACCAATATTGGAGAAGAGAATTACAGTTCTTGAATATTGTTTCCATGGTCGTCCTAAGTAATTTTTGAATGACGATAGAACAGGAACTAAATCCGATGCAGCTTCCACTTTACAATTCAAGATTGAAATTCCAGTGTTTTGATTTGGATCCTCTCTTCCTTGTGCTGTGAACAAGTTCTTCTGATTCGGGTTGGGTTTACGAGCATACAAGTTACAGTTCTGGAGAACAACAGCTGCATTACCTGTTTGAAGACATAATTTAACAAATTATCTGTTAGGATCGAAGTAATCAGGTATCTCATATAGAAACTATTAATATACTTGAAAAGAGACACAAAAAGTTAACATAGTTTAATGACTTGATCAACATATATATGAGAGAAAAGTTTGGATATATGACTTTCTGATTTTGACCATCTGAGATATTAACTTAACGGCCAAAAAGGAGAGAAGGTTAAACTAAAAATGATATAATTTTATTTTGACTTATAAACATTTTTAGTAAATTTACCAAATATCGTACAACAACTAAAAAATTAAGATGAGATAATCATAGAGTTCAGAATGTTACCAAAAATGAAGTCGACCGTCCCATAGACATCACAATTGCGATAGAATTGTCGAAGGGAGTGGACATAGAGGGTGTCTTGATAGGCAACAAAGCTACATTGGTAGAAAGCAGATAGGTCGGAGCCGCTCCGCAGAGCCACTGCTTGGTGCTTGCTTGGTCCGGCATAGTTCTCAAACGTAATGCCTCTAGCTAAGAATCCATTTCCCACCACAGCTGCAATTAAAAAAAAAATCCAAAGATATTGAGTTTTATAATACTGATCTTATTTTCGACAATTGAATTTGACTTTTTATATTCATATTGAAACTAGACTTAAACGTCTTTGAATTCTGCTTAAGGCTAGTGTAAAACAATTTATTAGGGAAGCATGGATATACCATTTATAATGTGGATTCAATTATTATTATTATAGTATTTACTTGATATTGTTATAGAAACTTACAAACTTCATGTTTTGAATCTGCTTCGATGTACAAATTATTAATTTAGAAATCAGTTTCTTCAGAGGATTATAGATTATAGAGTACAATACAAGACACCAACATATATATAGACAAATCTTCCATCTTTTCAGAAATCTATATTTATTATTAATTATTTAATATTTATAACCAGATACTAGATCTTTAAGAAAATTAAGAAGAAGAAAAAACCCTGCTAATCTTTGTCATATATATATGGACACTGACCTATGTTGTCTTATATCATTGCCTGTATGCAAATTGGAATAATACTTTCACTACCACTAATCGCAAGATTAATAGTCATAATTTTCTTTAAAAAGTTCAAAATATGAAGGAAAAAAATATACACATGAAAAAGCATCGGGGTTCAACATCTATATTAAAAAAGGTTAATCATATATAAACGATGTCATTTTTTGTTAAAAATAATCGAACAACCCTTTGACCTTATCTGGTTTCCGACTGTACTTAAAATTATATTTTATCATAATTTTTCATACGTAAAACTCAAATTCAAGATCTTTAATCGAATATAAGCATCTATCATACCATAACTCTATGTGGTCCTAAATTAAAGGCTAAAGCTACACATTGCTTCAAGTCGAGCTATTTAATTATTTTTTGATGTGGATTCAAAAATTATTGGAGGGATGAACCCAACCAGACAAGAAGACATGGGACCATTAATTATAGGAGTAGTACACTTGTAAAATAAATCTAGTTGAATGATTGAAGTGAATTAAATTAAAATATTTTTTATTGAATATTTCCTCTGTCCCTAATTATTATTTGTCCACTTTTGAATAGATAAATCTATTAAGAAAATAATTATTGATATAATGAGTTTACCATTTTACCCCTATTAATTATGAAATGAATGAATTAAAAATTTAAGATTTTCAAGAAGTTATATCTTTTTCAAAGTAATTAATTGAGGGTATAATAAGTAAACATATTTTATCCTTTCTTGATTTGTCAAAATGGACAAGTAATTAGGGACAACTAAAAAAGAAAAAGAGGACAAATAATTAGGGACAGAGGAAATATAAATATAAAATTTAGATCAAATTATTAAATTTTATCGAATTCATAACTTTTATGGTAGCTCAAACGCTCGATTTACAAGATAGGACCAAATTAATGTTGAGGTAGTTGTTGTGGGGTCCTTTATCTATTAGATATGCTTAATGAGACAAATATATGAATTATTCCTACTTGTAATTATAGATGAATTTAATACTTAAAGTTAACGAATTCTTATTTAGCAGTAAAATATGAATAAAAATTATTAAATTTCCATAAATTCGTTAATAATATTGTGGTACACGACAATTTTTTAATTGCTGGACAACACTGATATTTGAATTTTATAAGTGATTCAAATTGTATCACATAAAATAAAATTATAATATATTAGCATTTTTCCTACTTCGTCCCTTCCTATTTTAAAGGTACTCTGTACTAGTCTTTTGAATCTAAAGTCTCAAACTTGTAGCTAGGGGTGGTAATAGTACGATTAATCAATTATTTTTTAAAAAAAAATATATATTATATTAATTGTTTAATTGCTCTATTGAGCATGATTAAATTTTAGATTTTTCAAAATCGTCTCAATCATGAATAGAGTATATATAAGTCTTGCTTTTCCACACCGACAGAATCCATCAATTTTTTCATTAACCCTACATGTTCAATGCTAATATTTCATGTCAAGATCTTTCAATGTCTTTTTAATAATTCATATTTCGAATTTTTGCGTAACACAAATATCTACACAATAATATCTAATGTCATGACTAACTTATTAAAAGCGAAACACGTCTTATTATGACTATTTTTCACTCTCTTAATTTAAATTCGAAATCTCTAATTAAAAATGAAGAAATCCTATGTATTCATCCCTTCACGATGGTACCAATGATCTTTACTTTACAAAACTACTCCCTATGTCCAAATTTCAATAATAGTTATCTACTAAAAAACTTGACACACACCTTAAAAAACAATTAATAATCTGGACAATATTAGTATTATATTATCTTTCAAATATATTAAATTAAATGTTTTGAGAAGGGTAAAATAGACATAAAGGTAAATTATCTCTTGATTTTTAAACTAAACAAATATTATTGGACAACTATTTTTAGTATATCGAACTAATAAAGATGAACGGAGGGAATACTATGTAACATAATTAGATTACTAAAAGAATATTAGAATAATTCTATCAAACTATTAATTATAGTGTACATGACTCATGATTAACAAATTATTCACACCAATAATATGAGATTAAGGAAGGTCTAAATCATTGAATTAATTTCAACAACGCATGACACTACATAGAACGTGCCTTTGTCCAAATAATTATCTATCTTATTTTAAAATTATTATTCTCAATTAATATTTCTCGAATATGAGTATTGTAACATATAATTAAATTTCAGATAATCGTTACTAGTTATCAACGTATAAAGGTTAAACTCATACGGTATCAAATTAGGGAGTTTTGAACTTACCAACGGTAGCTGATCGGAAAGTAGTCCATCCATCGACGACGTTCCGATTACCCTTTATTACTGTTTTTCCGATCCCATCTCCGACGAACATTATCATACTTTTCTTTCTTTCGACATCAATATATTCGAAATACGTTCCCGCCTTAATGTA